GCAGTTCTCTTTATGGAGTTGAGAAACAACCTGTGGCAAAAAAAATGCTAGCATTCCATTCTGCAATAACCGTTCTTTGTCTCTTAAGAGGAATAGTCGTAACATAGCCGGTTTTGGAGACAAACGTGGCCACCATTTTTTTGCAACACTCCTTGAGCGAACAATTTTTGTTGGCTTTAACTCATTTTCGAACACCCAAACTCATGACTAGTTTTTTTGTTTCGGGTTCGTACGCGTATATCCAGGATTCGTCACCTGATACGATGTTGTATACAGCATTTGAGGATCCTGCGTGGAATCTTTCGAGAGTTCTGACGCACCAAGTAACGCGAGCCGCTTTTTGCTCTTCACAGAGCGGGTGCAGTATCCATCAGGAAAACAACTTTTTTACACCTAATTGTTCATGCAAGATTATTTGTATTTGACTCATGCCAATTTCTAAAGTTGCCTAAATTTCGCGGTATGTCACATGTCGATCTTCCTCAATCAGCTTACGCACAGCATCAACGATTTTTTGGGTGACTGCAATTTTTGTACGACCTTGACGGGGATCATCACTGAGCTTGACACGTCCACGTTGAAATTCAGCAAACCAGCAATAAGTTGTAGTTTTGGATGGGGCTTCATCACCAAATGCAGAAATCATCCGGTCAACACACTGCTTTTGTGTTAAACTACTTCGAAAGTCATAATAAATCATTGCTCTTGAATTTTCTCGAGTCAATTCCTTTTTCTCAACGACTAAACAAGTTTGACAAAACCTTGTGACAAGACCGAGAATCTTTTTTTTAAATAAATAAATGGTATTCGATTTTTAAAACCAAGGAGTTTTCAATTAAAAAGATTTTAATGTGACAGGAACAGTGGAAATATTCCATTCCCGATACTTTTAGTGCAGCCTAGTAAAAGACTCAGCAAATACAATAGCAGCAATTTCTAAACGTGTCATTCGTTTTCATTCGTTCGTTTTTATATTGTGTTCTAAGGTTTGTTTACATATAGTTACACTATGATATCGAGTATACGTGAATAAGAGATAAGCGTTCGTGCTGCCGACGAATATAGCCACAGTTTGGTTTTGGTTTTCGTATAGTTGACTCTATACGAATTCATGACGAAATTGCTTATTATTCGTGTTTGGGGTACAGGAAATTAGGTGCAATATTGTACCGGCGTAGAAAGTCGGGGGGCAGCAAGCGCTACTATATAAAAACGATTCTATGTTCGACAACCAACTGGAATATATGATAGGTTTTCGTTTAGTAGTAGTAATTTAAATAAAAGTCAATTAATTGTATTTTATGTTTTACAGGATATGCAACTTTAATGCGAAACATGGTTGTTTAAAACTACTTTTACGGATTTTATCGCGTTTTAGACGTTTCGGGTGCTTTCCAGCACCCATGGTCAGGGGGGACTGAGGTGACTGACGTCCCGATGTCAAAGTTAACCCGGAGTACCTTCAGCTTTTTAATTATTGTTTTTGGTCCGATCTACGCAGAATGAACTAACTGTATTTTGAAGTTTTGCAGTGGTATGCTTGGGTTTAGTTTTAATTTTATTAATTATAGGATCCCAAGCAGGTGGTAGTACCCAGCCTCCTTCTCTATTGAAATTAGGATGTTTTTTAATTTCAATAGCCTCACGTATCATCCTTGGCAGGAATCGATGTTCTTTCGCGAGGATTTGTGGTCTATCAAATCTGATGTAATGGTTGGGGCCATCTAGAATATGATCGCAAACTGCAGACTTCCCGGAACGTTGATGCTTCACGTCAGCTATGTGTTCTTTTACGCGGGTTCTAATTTATTATTAATTCTAATTATTATAAAAAATAAAATCTCGGTATAACATTACAGTCTTATTCATAAAAAGTTAAAATAGGTTTATTAGCTTGTTATAAGGAGGTACCCGTAAAACATAATTCATAAAAGTTTAATAATTCTAAAACGCATTATAAGTGTTCTATAACGGCTTTATAAGTTATAGAAGGGTCCACCCTACTATAAACCTGTAATAAAGAAAAATATGTCCGATTTGCGTGCGAGCAACGAACAGCTGTTTGTTTAAGTCGTTTAAGTTATTGTTGGTAAAATTGTTTTTTGTGGATTTTGATTGCTAAAAAGTGTCGATATGCAAGCTCTGCAAGCTTTAGAAGCTGTGGAGCAACTAGGAAATGCTCCGCATCGTCGTCGTAAGGTTTACCAAAAGAGATATGATCCGTTTTCTTTGCCGATGTAGAGTTCAAAAAGCGATACCGCTTCAATAAATATACGGCAGCTTTTATAATTGATCTTGTCAGGCAGGATTTACAACTGGACCCAAGGGGATGTGATACATCACCGGAATTGCAGGTGTTAACTGCCATTAGATGTTGGGGACGTAAGTAATAATGGGGATATAAGTAATAATACGAGTACCATATATGAGTGTGAAAAACGTTTTTGTACCTATCCGTTTTAGGTTCAAGATGATGGGGGAGACCTTCATGGGTTGACACCACCAACTGTGAGTCGCATTTGTGCCAGAGTAGCTCGCGCTATTGCTCGTCACTCTGAGACGTACATAAAAATGCCGCAGTCTGGCAGAAAAGCAAAGGGTTATAAGGGAATTCTTAGAGATAAAAAATTTCCCTTCTGTGTTGGGTTGCATTGATTGTACTCACATAAAAATAAAAAAATCTGGTGGTGATGCAGCTCAGTATTATATAAACCGAAAAGGATTTTATTCATTGAATGTATGTAGTAAGTTCATATAATAATACAATGCACTTTTTGCCAGGTGGTATATTACTTATATACATATCGATGGCCCCAACGAATAAACGTGCAATCGAAAAACGACAACTTTTCAGGAAGATATAAAAACGTTTGGAATCACATAACTTTAATTACATAATAAATAGACAAATATAATGTGTGATCAAATTAAAGGTAAAAAAGATATCTTTCAGCTCATATATTTATTATAAATGAAATATTATCGGTTTACTACATTATTTAAGAAAAACCGTATTAAATTATTATTCTAGTGAATAATATGTGACTTGTTAACATTATTGTATCACTGCACGTTTATTCGTGTCATAAATGAAGCTTAAACAAGTGTAGTGAAATGTTGCATGGTTATTCCACGTATATTTTTTTTCCCTAAGCCTTGCTCTGGTCATCTACACACTTATTCTTGTATATTTTGTTGCTTTTACATATTTGTAAAGATAAAGGCCCGTATATTTATGTTAACAAGATCGACTTAATATTTATGTAATACGACTTTATTAGTGCATGGTATATAATGTATATTAGCTATATTTTTTTTGTTGAAGGTTCAATAAAAAATATTGTTAATAAGAATAGTTCCTATTTATTCATCCAATTTAGAACGAAGTAGGTACTTATCAAGTATATTATTACTAAAACAAAAACAAGAAAAATGTAACAGAAAACAACTAATAAGTGGTTACTAATAATTCTCCTCGTCACTATCGTTGGTAACTGAGGTGGAATTTAATGGCACTAGATTTCTGTAAAAACACTGGTAATGGTTTGGTATGGCTCCCGAGTCACACAGACTTATTAAATCTCTATATAAAGGAAGAGGTACGGGCAGTATTCCAGTGTACGCGAGTTTTAGGTTTTCAGCGTTTTCTATAGGTTCCCCTCGTCGCCTTCGTGAGTTAGTCCTCGTAATAGCTTGCATCTCTTGTAATTCGTCTTCAAAACTGTATCTAAAGTAAACTGTATCAGGTTGATTTATAAGGAAAAACTACTTCTTTAATTTTGCTCCAGTAAATTTTATTACCATCTGTATCTTTTAACCAATTCTTCCCTTTAATAAATTCTTTAAAATCTATGAAATCAGCTTGCGTCATTTGTTTTACTTGATGCTTATGCCCGGTAACTTTGGCATTCTCTATCAAGGAATACATTTGATCAAGTGTGTAGATAGTATGCTTTTTCTTAGAACGCTCAATAGCAGCATGCATAGAATCGCCCTCCGATTGGCTACGACCTTTCTCCAAAAACCTATGTGTTATTTTTATGTTGTATTTCTTCGCCGCTAAAGAAAACATGGCGAATTCGAATCGATTACGATTTTGCCCTGCGCATGAATCAGAATAAAAGGATATGTTTTTTATTCCTAATTCCACGTGTGCCTGGATAAATGACCAAAGACAACTAGCTATTTCTATCGCACCCCTTTTCGCAATTTGACAATGCCAGACGTAGCAGTAACCTTTCTTCTCTAAGATATTATAAATCGTGAAATTGTATACAGGATACTTTCGTTTATAATGAAATATGCCTACTTCACTTTGGGGGATATTTAACACTTTTTCCAGATCAAAACATGCTACAACACTGTCACCTGAACAAAATTTTTCCTTTTCTTGTTACTTTAATTGCCTTACCATTTGTTTTTCTTTCAAGTGCTTTTCATAGTCAGCTTTTAACTGTTCTTTTCTTACATCATCAGAAGTTTGGTAAATTGAACATATTTCACATAAATCTTTTTTAGGTTTGTTAAAGGATAGGTTAAACTTCGTATTAAATATTATTTCATACTGCCGTTTAGTTGCTCTGCATGTTTGTTTGTACTGGTGGTTTGTGTCTATCCATTCTAAATATAGTCGGTGCATTTTAGAGACATTCAATGTTTCACACAGATATTGCTTTTGACTATCTTTACGAATATAGTGTGATTCAACTCTTTCAAATAGGTTTATATGGTCAATTATACTTTTCTCAGTCTCTTCTGACATTCTTCTTGGCCTATTCTTATGACTTCCTCTGTAATCTTTTAAATAATTGTCATCTCCCAATTTATCAATAGCTGTGTATACTACTTGCTGTGTAATAGACAAGGTACTTAAAAACATAGTTTTACAAACTTTAATCATGGAATTAGTATCATCGAATAGTTGATATGTTAATGTTTGAGTACGATTGTTTTTACGTTCAACTGTAATTTTTTTGACGTTTTCTTATTTTACATGGCGGTTAATAAAATCCCACTGTCTTTTGTGGTCCCCGATAGCCCAAAATTTTGAAAAATTTTACTCCTCTTATATTGCTGTATCTTTTCGTAACATTTCTGTTTGCAGTTGCACCTATAGATTTTTCTACGTTTTGCTTTTTAGTTCTAACACTTTCATAACTTTTACCAGAATTTTTAAGAGTTTTATTTTTGCGATCTTTCCATAAATTAGGATCTATTTTTCTCTTTTTCGTAAGCGGTTCTATAGGAGTGACGGGTCTTTCCTTCGATTCCGTAGGTACAATATCCTGTGATATATTTTGTGTTTCAATACTATGTAAAAAACCCTCTAAGTCGGAAATATTTCTTAGATAGTAATCATTATTAATGTATAAAACAGTCGGCGTGGCTATAAAATCTATTTTTTGTTGGGTTGATGGAGTCATTACAATAGAATTATCAGTAATCTGTAAATCATCATTATTATTTACAGATTGCAGTGGAGTAGGGTATTCCATTTCAGGTAGTAATGATTCAATAACATTATGAGAAATATCTAAAATGTCATTTGTTGGTAAATTTGGTGGTGAGGTATTATTATCATTTGGAGATAAATTTACTACTATTAATGGAGCCGATGTAATAAAATCATCAGGTTCTGAGTTGACTTCTTTGAGGTCTGATATGCCATCAATGGGGAAAGAACTTCGCGAAAGATATGTGAAATTTTCTGAAACAAATTACTCAAATGACTACATTACTATTTTTTCAATAACTATATATTTATATTTACACTCAGCCCCTCACCCTATATTGTCTGAAAAAAAAAGTACTTAACATGGATCAAAAAATGTTTACTCGATACAATATCAGCTGAGCCTGTAAAAGCAAATAATCCTTCTAAAGAGAATAGTTACATAATACATAAGACAATAAATTAGCTAAATAATAGGCAACCGCCGCGCGATGCCTGTGTCAGGTGATTTTCGTTCTTATTACATTGAACTAAAAAGGTTGTCGGAGTCCACATAACATGGTACCACCTGTTATAAAGGGAAAGAATAATAAGAATCCAATTTCCATCGATTAAAGTGTGTATCCTCTTACTTACAAAAGTAGTTAATCAATAATAATATGTAGGTACATACCGTGTATCCCATAGTTCACCAATTTTAATATCTTTCTGCAACGACTTGAAGGACCTCTGTGTCTATTCATAATTATACTTATCACTCATTAATGATTTAATAAGAATATTAACAACAATGCATATGCTCAGTAAACAAACGAAATTACATAATAACTCGAGCAAATTCGCATCCGAACTGACCTTCCGGGGTCTAGCGATGTCACGCGCATCTTACATACCCCGCCCCCGCTTCGCCCCTTTTGTAACGAGCGATTGCAATAGACACTATTGGGAAAGTATCCGTTTATTAAAGGGTTACTACCAATAACTTCAAATTCATGACCGAATAATATTAGGGCTTAAACCTTTACAAAAGTAGAAAAAACAAGAGAAAATGTTAAAAGACAATAGCATAGCTGTAATTATTATATTCAAGGTTTTGCCGCCTGCAATGAGGCATTACTGATAAAAGTCGCTTGCGTTTTTACACGAAAAATCGTGCAAGAGTTATTACCCAAAGGAAAGGATAGACACGTACACGAGCGGCAAATTGATTTAACACGTTTATTCTGGTGAACTCAAATAAACTAATAATCGGCAATAAGCGCATGTTTTATTATTCATGTGATATGTAAATATTTTTTTCCGTACAATAAAGGAATATTGTGCTATAAAAGGCTTATTCGAAGTCTAAAATATTCAAAAAAATATACTTAGGTGTATAATAGGCTAAGCAAACGAAAAATACGAAAAAAAAATTTTGGGTAAGAGCTCTTGCACGTTTATTCGTTGGGGCCATCGATATATACGTGTATATATAAATGTATGTATGTATTTATTTTACCTACATACATAACTGTGCTCACATATTTTTTTTAAATTTTTAATGCAGGTGGTTTGCGATGCTAAGCTGTATATCAGAGACATCGTTTCCAGATGGCGGGGCAATACCCATGAATCCCGTATCTTTAACGAATCCACTCTTAAGGAGCGCTTTGAAAGAAGAGAGTTTAGAGGGAGACTCTTAGGAGACTCAGGCTACCGATTAGAGCCATATCTATTCACATCTATACTAAGACCACAAAATGAGTGTGAAGAAAAATATAATCGAGCACAAATTGCCACTCGGAACTGTGTTGAACGTTGCTTTGGAGTGGGGAAGCAGCGAAACATGAAAAATGTGAAACCTACAATTGTGGCTCTTGCAGTGTTGCACAATATTGCAATAGGACATCAGGATTCGATACCAGGTAATTTGCACACAAATAATTTTAGTCATTCATTAATATAATATTTCTTTACATAATAATAATAATATAATTTTCAGATCATGATGATGAACTCAAAACAATTGTAGATGCTAATCTTCTACCTCAAATTGGTGAGGCCAGAGGAAGAGACTCCAATAATGCTCTTCTACGAGCATTTATCGATAGACATTTTAGCTCATTAAGGGTAAGAGTAAGTAAGCTCCACATTTTAATTTTAAATTATTTATTTTCAGGAACTAGAAGTTTTTTATAATATTCAATTTTTTATTTAATTAATGTCTCATCGAGGTCCAAGCTTCGGGCTTTCCTTTCTTCTTAGCCATTTGGGCTTGATGGACCTCTTTCCTGCACTCGATTTCAGTATTAGCTATACTTTCTGCATGATCTGAGGTCTGAAATACAAATAGTTATGTTTGGGTATTTAAAAAAATCAAAGCAACAATTTCATAAATTAACATAATCCCTATTAGAGTAGAGGTCATTATATTTACCTTTTTCTCAGTTTTATTCTTTCTTTCAGGTTTCTTAGATGGTGTATAGAGTAGTTGTGGTGCTGAGCCAATAGATACAACCTGCAGCAAAGGAAAACATTAAAGAAACATGTTTTCATTAACTTAATCTTAAATATACTTTGACATAAAATGTTTCATCAAATAAAATTTAGGTTTAAATGGACCATTTTTTATTCAACTATTATTTTTATCCCTAAACTTCACAATCCAGGATTACAAATCAGGGGTGCGAAGTCAGAAGTCCTCCACGTGTGCCTGGTAGTTGCGGGTCCCTCTCGATATGTCTGGAGGAAAGAGCAGCTACTGGGCCGGTGCATCCTGGGCGCGGCGGTAATCTTCCTCGAGAAATGAGAAGAAATTCTTATTCCTTGGGGAATGTTGCTGCCGCGGCTAATTATTCTGACATGGGTGGGGTCCGTCCCGGACCAACAGTACGTTCCTCTGCGTGACCCTCTGATCAGCAGAGGGCATAGCAGAGGAGTGAGGGCGGGCTCGGTGTGCACTTACCCCGCCTCCGGGCAGACAGTGAAGGATTCATCCGTTGCTGTCACCGCCGGTCTCGTAATTCCAGTATTGAAGTGTCGTGGATCATGTCTCGCGGCTTTGATAGGGACCGAGGGTCTTGGCTTAATCGCCCGGACCACGAGGGAGAAAACCTCTATAAAAAGTTACTCCGAATCCCAAGCGGCGACGCATCGCGAGGGGATGGATGGCTGACGGGGTTCTATGAACAAATCAGCCGCTAGTGCGCTCCTCGCCAGGGTACCTGCAGACCTCCTGGCGAGTAATAAATTCTCTAAATCTGCTTACCTTGGTACAGGGGTCTCTGCCAAGGTGGACCTTTAATTCCCCCATATTCGTGGGTAAAAAATGGAAAACCAAAACAAAAAAACCAAAACCGCCGGCAACGGCAACGTAGAGGAGAGGAGGAACGATGCGGGGACAGAGTCCGACGCCGCATCGAGCAGCGTGGGAGGCTCAGAGAGCTCCCGACGCGTGGGGCCTGGGACCGCGGAGACCAGTAAGTTCTTCCGCAAGCGGTCCAGGCGGGATAACGACCAGGGGCCGTCATCCGGTGAAGAGGAGGTTTCGGCCCGGAAAATCCCCACCAACAGGCGGAGCGGGCTGAGAGGCAAGGGGAGGGGGCTCTCTGTCAATCAGACGGCTGAACGAGCGGCAAAGCTTGCCGAGGAGGGGCGCCACCCGGGCGATACGGCTCGGGTATCAGGCGGAGAGACAAGTGCGACTGGCGGCTCCGAGTTGGAGCGTAAGGTCAGATTCGTAAAGGAGGTGGAGGCCGCGATCAAGGTCGTCAGCGCCCAAGCCAGCCCGTGCCGGTGGAGAACCGGGTTCTGAACCTGGTCCGGCAGGAGCTGGCTGCCTTCCAGCACCGGTTCTCCGTGCTGGAGGGCATCGTCCTGCGCCCCCCCCCCTAGGGGCAAACAAGACGGCGGCGAGGCCGGCAGCGGTCTCGTACGCGGCGGCCACGGCTACCGCATCCAGACCGGGGCCGTCCAGTCAGCCCCTCGGGCGGGGCTGCAGTTGCCCCTCCCCCCTGAAAAGCCGGCTCCGGCAAAACCGGTACCGGCTGAACCGGCTCCAGCAAAACCGGTACCGGCTGAACCGGCTCCGGCTAGGTCGGCGACGGGAAAGAGAGGCAAGACGAAGGCGAAAAAGGGCAAGGCGGCAGCACAGGTGGTGGCTGCACCAGCCCCAGTGCATGCGGCGAATGTGCCAGCGCCAGCGGCAAGCCAGCTGCCGCCGCCGTCACCGCCCTCCCAGCTCCCTACACCTCCGGATCGGGGACAAAAAGAAGGGGAAGAAGGCAGCCAAAAAGGCCAAAGAGCAGGAGCGGCAGCGCCAGTTCAGGGCGCGCAAGATCGCGGCTAGGCTCCGCGCCCCGAAGACCGCAGCTGTAGTGATTACACTACAGCCGGACGCGGAAAAGAAGGGCGTTACCTACCGCGATCTGCTCGCGAAGGCGAAGGAGGCGGTGGATCTCGGGGAGCTCGGGATCACCGGGGGCCTCCGGCTCAAAGTCACCCAGACGGGGGCCCGTATGCTGGAGGTCCCCGGGGAATCCAGTGGCGCGACCGCGGACGCTTTGGCTGCGAAGCTCAGAGCGTCTCTGGATGCGGACGGGGCCCGAGTGTCCAGGCCCGTCAGATGCGCAGACCTGCGCATCATGGGTCTGGACGACTCGGTATCGGAGGAGGAGTTGGTGGCCGCCGTCGCCAGGTCCGGGGGTGCACTACGGACCAGGTCAGGTCAGGCGCCATACGCCCGGACCAACAGGGTATGCATGCCGCCACGGTGTGCTGCCCTGTTACGGCGGCCAAAACCATAGTGGAGGTCCGAAGGCTTCTGGTGGGCTGGGTTTCAGCGCAGGTTAAGCTGCTGGAGCCTCTGAGGTGCTATCGCTGTCTCGTGAGGCACCACGTATCAGTGAGATGCGCCTCGGAGGTTGACCGCAGTGGCCTTTGCTTCCGCTGCTGTCAGCCCGGACACATATCGGCGACCTGCTGCGCTACGCCGCACTGTGATGTATGTGCAGCGACCGGCAATCCAGCCGATCACCGGGCCGGAAGCAAGGCCTGCGTGCCACCCGCCAAGGCCAAGGCCGCCGGTAGGGGAGGGCCCTCCGCCGCCACCGCCTCTGTGGCCTCCGCCGCAGCCGCAACTGCCGCCGCCACCGCTGTCACTGTCGCCGCCGCCACCGCCGCGACCCCGCCGCCCGCAGAGGGGCCCCCCGTGGAGGAAGCTGAAATGGAATGCCTATAACGGCCCCATTAAGCTTCCTCCAGGCGAATATCAACCACTGCGCCTGCGCTCAGGATCTGTTGCTCCAGAGCATGGCGCAGTGGTCGATTAACATCGCTGTGGTCGCTGAGCCGTATTTTGTCTGGCCTAGGGAGGACTGGGTGGCGGACCTTAACGGCTCAGTTGCCATCATCTCTTCGGCCGCCGCCGGTACCCCGACCCTTGAAGACGTCAGGAGGGGTCAGGGCTGCGTAGCAGCACGGTTCGGGGAGTTCGTCGTTGTGGGGGTGTACTCCTCCCCGAACCGATCTCTCGCCGAGCTCCACAACTCTCTTGCAGAGCTGAGAGCAGTCGTCGTCGGAAGTTATCCCCTCCCCGTACTTGTCCTCGGGGACTTCAATGCCAAGAACTTGGCTTGGGGTTCTCGTCGTACAGATGTGCGGGGTAGGATGGTGGAAGACTGGGCTCTGGAGACAGGCCTGGTCGTCCTAAATCGGGGTTCTGTCCCCACGTGTGTGCGGATGCGGGGCGAGTCGGTGGTGGACATCTCGTTCGCTAGCCCCGCTCTGTCGCCGCGTGCCATTGACTGGCGTGTCATGGAGGGGGTGGAGATCTACTCCGACCACCGGTACATCCGGTTTGACGTCTCCACCCAGCCCTCGAGCGCGCCAGTCCAACAGGCCCCGAGTGGTCCGCGCTGGGCGCTGAAGCAGCTGTACCGGGAGCTCCTCCTGGAAGCCTCGATCGTGCAGGCCTGGGTGTCATCACCAGACATGCCTGCCGACGTCAATGATGAGGCAGGGTGGTTCCAGGAGGCCATGTTCGAGATATGTGACTTGGCAATGCCCCGCGTCCGGCCAGGAAGCGCCCGGCGTCAGGTGTATTGGTGGTCGCGTGAGCTGACGTCTCTGCGCGAGGCGTGTGTCGCCGCGCGGCACCCGTACGCCAGGCATCGCAGGCTCCGCATTCGTCCACCGAATGCGGCAGCCATTGAGGCGGAGCTGTACGAGGGATACAGAGCGGCGAAGGCCGCCCTGCGGGAGGCTGTCCTGCGGGCCCGGGATCGGGCCCGTGAGGAGATGCTGGAGACTCTCGACAGAGATCCGTGGGGGCGCCCTTACAAGATGCTGCGGGATAAACTCCGTACCTGGGCCCCCCCGCTGACGCAGAGTCTCCGGCCCCAGCTCGTGGAGGACGTGGTGAGCGCTCTGTTCCCTGCGTGAGGGGAACATCCGCCCCCGCCTATGGCTCCGCCACCTGCGGTGCCGGAAGCGGACCACCAGGACGACGACGACGACTTCCCGGAAGGGACCGGGGTAGACCTGAGAGTGGCGGTACGTGGGCTCAAGGCCAGGAATACCGCCCCAGGACCCGATGGCTTGCCTGGCAAAGCCTGGGTCCTGGCCTCGGAGGCTCTCGGGCCCCGACTGGAGGGGCTCCTAAGCGCATGCTTGGAGAGAGGCCAATTCCCGCTTCGTTGGAAGACGGAGAAGCTGGTTCTCATTCGGAAGCCGGGGCGCCCTGCGAACTCTCCGTCCGCATACCGGCCCGTGGTGCTGCTCGACGAGGTGGGCAAGCTCTTTGAAAGAGTCATTGCAAACCGCCTCGCCTTGCACCTTGCAGGGACGGGGCCGGATCTTGCGGAACACCAGTTTGGTTTCCGCAAGAGGCGCTCTACGGTGGACGTCATCATGCGCGTGAGAGCCCTCACGACGGGGGATGCAGTGGTCAGAGGGGGGTTGTCTTGGCGGTGTCTCTCGACATGCCAACGCCTTCAACTCCATGCCCTGGAGCTGCATTAGGGAGGCACTCCGGTATTACCGGGTGCCGACCTATCTCCGTCGTATAGTCGGGGACTATCTGACGGACAGGGCCGTCATCTACCCCGGTCGCAACGGTGTCGTGCGGTGTCCCACAGGGTTCGGTTCTGGGGCCACCTCTGTGGAACATCGGTTACGACTGGGTGCTGCGCGCCGACCTC